ATTAAATTAACCATTAATTAATTAAATCCGAAAATAAATCAAACAATTTGAATTAAAACATTTTAATTCAATTAACCAATTAACCAGAATCAAATCAATTTAAACCAAGATAAACCAATTAAATCAATTAATTCAATTAAACCATATTAAACCACACAAACACACAATTCATCACATAAACAACCAAAATATCATAAAATAACAATTAAAAACATAAACTCATCAAGAACAACCACAAACCAAATCTAATCTAGCAAATCGGACCCACAGTCATGCACTCACCTTGACAATGATTGAAACTGAAGGAAAAAGGAAGACGATGAACAGTGCCGAATCGCGGATGAACAGTATCCGATGAACAGTACCGTGAACAGTACCCGATGAACATACCCGATGAACAGTAAAACTCGAAAATCTCTCCAAAAACTCAACTTTTCTCCTCTGCAGCTCTGAACTCGAAAATTCTCCAAAGAGAAGACGGCTGCACTCTTTAAACTTGATTTTAGGGCTTTCTCCACTAAACCGACCCAAACCAATTCACTTAAATTGAACCGACAAAATTCCCAATTTTTATTTTTGGTTTATGGATGTTACATATCATAGAGGTGACTCGCACCGATAATACAATACATAGTTGGTAAATAAAGAATTGATCAGCCTAACCACAAATTACAAACTGGGTTAGGGTTTATTTGATCAGCCTAACCACATTTTTTTCTTTATTTTATTTATCTAACATCTTAATTTTCATTCTTTTTTTGTTTCATCTTCTCCTTCTTCTATTTTCTTCTTCCTTATCCTTTGGGTTTCTTCGTTTTCTCAACTCTTACGAAAGATGTAATCAAACTAAAAGTAGGATGAACAATCTTAGATGTTTGATCAGCGTAAAAGCAGCACAATCCCTCGTCTTTGCATCCAACTGCTTTAAAACTTCTTATCTCATCGAGCATTAACTGAACTAGGTTTGAAGCCCCGTGCAATAGTCTTATGTTTAGTTTTATCTATACTTGTTGATTTGAATTATGATGGTTTTGTATTAACTTTCATGTTTTTTGTTTATATTTTGAGTTAACTCAATCACTAACATTAAAAATATGAACAATTTATCTTTTATTTTATTTTATTAGGATGTTAACACTCCCACTTTATCTCGAGTTTTCTATTTCTAAAATTTTAGCATATTATAAATATTATGTTTGTTTACTTCTGTTAGACTATAAACATGCATATGCATTGGACTCAACGTTAAAATTTGTAAGCATAATGTAAAATAGCATTTGGACCCGAAATAAGATGAAAAAAATAATATATATACTTTTTTACATATCTACTTTGTTGTGGTAGCATATGAGCCTCATAACCATTGATTATTTTCTATTATGTTAGTTTTGTAAATATTAATTATATTTTGAGACAAACATATCACAATCCTTAAAATTTTCATGTTTTTCACTGCAATTAAATTTACATATAAAAACTCGACTTCTACTTTTTTTTAAAAATAAAACTCTAACTCTAATTTCTCATTGGCTTTTTATTATCTTAATTAATTTATATTCAACTTTTTAACTTGTAAACACATTATAACATTTTGAAATAGGATAAATTCTTTTAATAAAAAGGTAAATATATACCATTTCAAGTTACATATATTTTTACTTATATTCAAATTTTTGATAAATTTTAACATCAAGTTATCACATATTTTATATTAATTAAGTAATTTAGTTGTGTATTTTTCTTAGTTTTATTTATATTTAAAATATAAATATATGCAAAGAAATATGAAAAGTCATGTATTAAATATCTTAAAAACAATTTAATGAATTTTTTGTGCTGATGTGGGCACTCTATATGGAGAGAGCAACTTCCTAATTATATATAAGATTCAGTCTTGCGACACCGGCAATATACATCTAAATGATATATCTCTTCTTAATCAGTTCAATGAGCAACAGACTGAGCACTATGGGAGAACCACGAGCTCACATCCGAAAGCTAGTTAAGAAGGACAACATGGTGGATATTGAAAGCAAGAACATATTTTGGAGGTAAAATCACATATATTATGAAGCAACAATTACCAACAGAAGCTTAGGCCTCAAGCAACAATGTCCACAAGCTCACAAACCAGTTTTTTTAACGGCAATCATAAACCAGTCTTGCTTACTAGTGACAACGACAGGTTCTACTCAACGCAACAACAGAAGGTGGAGGGAGGTAACTTGGATTCTAAGCAACAACAACAATGGGGAACATTATTCACTCTCTCATGAAAAAATAAGGGGAGACATGGCGATGAGAGTAAAAGAGGTCAGCTTCCACTGGACGACTTTACAAACAACGGTGGTGTCTCGGAGTAGATGGGCGACGGAAGATGGTGGCTTTGAAGATCGTACTCTCGCGGCTTCCTCCGGTATATTTCTCTTCTTTTTTGGTAAAAAAAAATTCTGTAACAAACAAAAAAAAACATGTGATAATTTTTATACACTCGTTACAACAAAAGCACCCGAGTCCTCCATGAGACTTAGACCGAGCTCCGCTTCCCACATCATTGTCCTGATGATCACTTCATAGAGTAGCTCCGTGAAATTATGAATGAGAGAGATATGTACCACTTGAGACTCGAACGTGGATCTAAACAGTGCGAATCTTTGCCATCTCCGATTAAATATTTAGGACAAAACTGAGGGCTCTTAACTGCTATTTGCGAAACTGCTATTTGCTGCAATATATTCGCAAATAGCAGAACGATACGTCAAACTCTAGTGGAGAAAATAGTATTTCAAAATCAAGCTAAAGAATTTACGAAATAATCAACCAAAATTATTTCGTAAAAGAAGAAGTCATAAAAATTCGGCACATATGAATTAAAACTGGTTATTACCTGACGTAACATATATAAACAGTAGTCTTCTTATTAAAACATGAAAAGCAAGGTTGTTTTTCTACCTCTAACATCTACTTTCTTTTTGGGGTTTTTGGGGTATGGTGATGAGAGTTTGACGGCGATGAGAGTTTGAAGCGTGGCCTCTTCTCCACGTAAACTAATAACTTGAGTAAGAAATTTTACAATACCACTATTCTAAGACTGATATATAACAACTAATTCATGGATCCGTTTCAGCAAAGGAAGATTACTCCATAGCCAAATCCTAAAGCAGCCTAACATCTAAACCACATTAACTCAAATTCCTTGACATCAAGAGCTGTAGCCTTTGTTCTTCTCCTTCACTTGTGTAGTAAGCTTTTTCTGGCTTTTTCTGGTTATACCAACGGTAAGACTTTACTTAAGCCACTTTAGACATCTAGCACAAAATTGACTTACAGGGTTCATCGTGGGCAGCTAAGAAAACTATCGTTCATGGCATGAAGAGAGAGATCTAAGGTTAGTATATATATTTTTAGAGGTTTAGGTTTTTCTTTCGTGTAGAAAGAAGAATCGTGGATTGTTTTGATTTTCCTTGTTTCTATCTATTTATATAATACATAGTTGGTTAAGAAATCTAGGTTTTTCCCTTTTTTCGAATTTTTTTAATTTTTCCATAATTGTGGTGTATAATATGGTAGTTAGGATTATTATCCTTGAATATTTTAATTAAATATAAAAATTGTGAGATTTAAAAAAAGGAAATAACAAAGATTTTAAAAAAGATTTTTCATTAAGGGTATATAGGGAATCAACCAGCTGAGATTGAATGTGGTGCCTAATTTTTCTATAATTTTTTTTTTCCAATTGCTGCTTTTTAGTGTTTTCACATCTTTCTTTCTGCATTGTTAATGTATTTTCTTTTTTTTTTCCAACGGCTGTTAATTATTAGTACATAAATAATAATGTAAACCTTTGTTAATAAACCCATCACAAAATATCTAAATTGAAAGCAATATTTTATTTGACAAAGTAAATTGAAAGCAATATAATCTGTCGAAAATGATAAATTTTTGAATATGAAATCCTATAAACTCATGAAAGTGTTTGCTTCTTTCATCATCGCTGTTATAAAGCAAAGCCTTTAACATATCCGATGGTTCTCTAAGACGTGGTAGATCAACCTTTCCTTTGTGGCAACATGTTGTGAAACACATTACAGTTTGTTCACTCGTTCTCCAAACCACATTAAAGCATTACAGTTTTCACAAACTTATTTCGGATCACCATCATCAACATAATCTGTTCATAAAATCCATGTTGATAATCGTTTATTAGTATAAATTCAGAAGTAGTGAGAATTATAAATAAATATAATTGCTCAGTTGTTGTTGGAACAATTTCATCATCTATTTTTTTTTTCCCTTTTCTGTGACCTTATTTTGGGATTGTCCTTTTTATTCCCTCTTTAGGCGATGTCCATCGGAATCACTTCCATCAGAATCGGTTGTAACAAAACAGGCGAAATCATTATACTCCGCAGATGTTGGCAATGATTATGAAGTACAATTTGAAAACATATTTTTGTTAGTTATTTATCAAGATAGTATGAGTACATTTAACCGTAAATTATGCATATCAATAGTTTCTGTTTTTCTGAATGATCGTATCTTCTTCATGATTTACCTTCTTTTTCCCTCACTTGTTGACTAAAACGTGTTAGAAAAATAGAACATTGTTTTAATAGACTGCAGAATTTGTTATTTTTTCGAGACAATCTGTTCTTACGTTTTGTGGGTACCGGAACGCATTGTTAGGAGCAGCCTTAAGCCCTAGAATCGAACTGATCACATTGTATATCTCAACATTCTCAAAAGAAGCCACTTTCTTTCCCTCCAAGAACATCGGACCATGCCCTATAAATATAGTTCTCATCGAGAAGAAGGCATTGTCGTACCCATGAGCTCCACCACATTCTTTGGCTTCACTCTTCTTCTGCTCCACTTTAAAACCCTCATCGACCAATCCTATAATAGGAGGGATCCGATCATTCTCCACATAATGTAAATCCTCTTTGAGATAAATTTTCCTTGCCATTCTCAACTTCCTTCACCAGAGCTTAGGGCTTCGTTCATCTTCGCCACATATCCGCTGCGTTTCCATTCGAAGGCGGTTTAATCGCTAGCAACGGAGTGTAATACTGAACCCAGCTGCTAGGGATTTCGATCCAAGAAGCTAAATCATCAAGAACAACGACTTTCTAATCACAAGTTCCAACCATTCCATGATCACCAACCATAATCATTGTCACATCATAAAAACCTCTCTTTTCTCTAACCCATCGATGATTCTTCCTATTAACCTATCGATGTTCACTACAGCTTCTGTGATCTGAGGATCATCAGGGCCAACTTGGTGACCTTGATGATCAGGATTTTCGAAGTAAAGCGTCATGAAGCTAGGGATCTCGGCATCATTGGTTCTGTTTTTATTTTTTTCAGACTGAAGAAATCATGAATGGATCGGATATTCCTGTGAATCTATTGTCGAACAGAGAACATATCGACTGATTATACGACTTTAACTTAAAGGTACAGACGTAAGATCAAACTAAAAACGAATAACCTACATGAGAAGAAAAGATGAGATATGGACTCGAAGAAATTATCTCACCTCTAGGTTGAAGAATCGTGGATTGTTTTGATTTTCATTATTGCTATCTATTTATATAAGACATAGTCGGTTAAGAAATCTAGTTTTCCTTTTTTTTTCTTTCCAAATTTTTTAATTTTTACATAATTGTGGCGCGCAATATGGTAGTTAGGATTATTATTATCGTTAAATATTTTAATTAGAAATATAAATCGTGACATTTAAAAAAGGAAATTATGAAGATTTAAAAAAGATTTTCATTAAGGGTAAGCTGGGTAATCAACCAGCTGAGAGTTAACGTGGTGCCTCTAAACGAAATTTTCACTTCGCAAATAATATATTAGATATTCTGGCAAAAAAATAGATACTATATTTAAATGTTTGTATCTATCTTCTATAACTAACGAAAAGAAAGCTATAAATATTCTCATTTAACTTCTATGATCTCATTGAGAAACATGGTTTTCCCCAACAATCAGCAATGCACAAAACTCATGATCTACGGTCTTGCTTTTTATGTGACAATATTGTCGTCATTGCTAGCTTTTTCAGATGCTGCACCTTTTGAGCAGAAAACCGTTAGGATCGGTAATGTAGTAAGAAACAGATAAGTTTTGAATGTGCATTGCAAATCTTCAGAGGATGACTTAGGGTTAAGACACCTCCGTTATGAGAAGGGTTTTGAATTCAGATTCAAGGCAAATTGGAAAGGCACTACGAAATTCCGTTGCCATTTTACATGGCGTGGTGGTGGAGATCATTGGTTCACTGTATTTAAAGACTCGAGAGACAATTGTGATTATTGTTCTTGGTATATTCGCGGAGATGCTCCAAATGAAAAACCTATACAACTTTTCAGTTTGAGTAGAAATGATCTCTTTTACGATTGGGATAAATAATCTCAAAATAGAATATATATATATATATATATATATATATATATATATTGTTTATAGGAAATGATATAACATAATGTTGAATGTTTTATGATTAATTCCTAAACCTATTGATCATTGTTTGAAATTGGATTTCACCTAATTAGGCGTTAACGACAATTAGACGGAAAAACGAATCCGTTAACTTAAAAACCCCTTAGATGTCGGGATTATATTTTCTGACACAAAATTCTCCAATTAAAAACTCTAAAAGGATTGCCTACGAATTAAAGTCATTTTCGGCAAAATTCTGGAAATTCCATGAGATTTTAGCGAATATAAACTTGGAAATCACAAAATTCAAGCTAATTATGGTGAAAAATGGGAAAGAGATGGGAGGAAGAATAAACTCCCAATTCTAAGGGAGCAACAATTAATAACTATTATATTGAGAACATAGAGCCTAAATTCTTCATACACACCTTCTGCGGAAAATAAGAGATTTGTAGTATCATTGTATCAATTATACTGTAATTATGTTGTAGTTCAGTCACATTCACGAATATATAAATAACTATAGAATTGAGAAGAGAAAGTTTACATATTCTTCATACACGCCTTCCGCTGAAAACAAGAGACTTGTAGTATCAATTATAATGTAATTGGTACAATGTTATGCATGACAAAACAATGTGAGGTATACATTCAACATTGTTAGTACATGTTCTTTGTTTAATTTACAAAATCAAAAATTTCCAATTTCCTCATTTTCTCAACGCTATAGAAAGTTTATTTGGTGAACTCATGATGATTGCATTTTACATCATTTAGACATAGAATTTCATGCATAATTGCGTGTTCTCCACATTCATTTCACTCATTTTAGCTCAGTTACCTTCCATTGTATACATTGATCCCTTTTAGAGCATACATTGCATACATACTGCATTCAGAACTGTATTTAGGTACTTTTGGAGCTTATGGAGACAGATTGGAGACTGGGGATCAAAGGAGTGTTCAGGAGCTTGCAACCAGGATGTCAATCAGGTTTAGGAAACCTGATTCTTGCCTTTCAGCTACACATTGACCAGGATGGGACTTGTTGGCCCGCGTTGACCAAGCTTTGACCACTATCCAGCTGTACCAAACGGAGATTAAACCCGCAATCTTTGGAGCCAAAATCAATTGGGAAGAAAGAAGAAGTCAAGCTAAATGAGTTGACCAAGGGTTTCATGTCTCCAAGTATAAATAGTTAAGTGCAAAATTTGTAGCCACCTTTTATCTTATCTTTCTAAGAAAAAAAAAATACCTCTTTTAGGGTTCTTAACATTTGTGAGATCCCAATTTCGTTTTTAATCAAATCAAGTACTTTCCGTCTATAATCTTCTTATCTTATCTCTCTAATCATGATTAGGAACCTTTCCCTCATCATGGGATTTGAATTTCTAAGCATGATTAGTGAGTAAACCCCTTTGTTCTTAATGGATGGGATAGTTAGAGATTTTAGAGTTTCATCTTGATGTTTAGAGGTTTAAATTCGTTTTACAATCATTCTTTGTTGGGTTTTCTTAATTCTATGTCTCTCACTACAAGAAACATATTTTTTAGTGTCATTTTTTTTAAGTTAGTATCATTTTTTAAATGATACAAGAATTATAGCATCATTTGTAAAAATGATACTAAAATCAATGATACTAAGTTTTTTTGTATCACTTTTGTAAATGACATGGAAATTGAAATTTAGCATCATTTTAATTCAAGTGATACTAAAAATGATATTTAAGATCACTTGAACAAATGATACTAAAAATGACATTAGAATCACTTGAACAAATGATACTAAAATTGTCATTAGTATCACTTGAACAAGTGATATTAAAAATGATATACAATCACTTTAAAAATGACACTAAAAATGATATTTACAATCATTTGTAAAAATGACACTAAAAATAAGATTAAAATTAAAAAATATATATTTAAGCTAAAATAAGTCAAATATCATTAATTTGTATTATAGAAGAATCAAACACCTTTACTTAGTAACATAATAATGTATTCTTCACATGATGTATACCATATGTCTTCTTCCTTGTATTCTTCCTTGTATTCTTCTTGAAGTAAACCAATATATTTGTCTCATATCCTGAAATCAAAGCTAAGATATTAATTTACTCAAACTTTAGACCAAATAAGCATTATATATGTACGTCTCAGGTACCTAACAACACTATTTGCAAAGTTGATTCCCATTATCTAACTAAGACTAAGACTTGTCGTAAATTAATTCCCAATATCTCACAACAAGGACTAAGATCGCAATACTGATTCCCAATATCATAAAGTATTAGAGCTTACCTTCTTCAATGTATGTATATATGTCTCCTGTCTCCTCCACTTACTATGCCCTGAAAAAAAAAAAACAGAACAAGAGCTAATTAAGGCTAATTAAGGCTATTTCCAACACAGAACAAGTGCTAATATTTGCAACACAGAAAAATACTATTTGCAACTTACCTTCTACAATTGCAATCTGAGCTAAGAAGACTATTAAGCACATCATTCATCTTCTCATATTTATCTTCTAAATCAGTCATTTTCTCCAGTTTTTTTTTTGTAGATCACGAACCGTATGTCTCAAGTCTATTACTTCTGCTTCATAAGAGGTGCGATTCTTAAAGAAAGTGGTAGGAGTAGGACCAAGTCCAACACACCACACACGACCTGGACGTTCGGGGCCAAATACTTGAGAAAATCCATCATCATTTATGTTCCCTCTAGCCATCTCCTCTGTTAATTTTTCCTGAAAGACGAGCAAATTCACTCAAGCAAATCACATAAGTCATTACAGAAGTAACAAATCTCCTATATAAATACAAATAGACCAAGACAATAACCGATAAATCTCGAGCTTCTTCACTAACAAATATCCCATTAACGTTTTGGCGTGAGCTCACAAAGATTTCTGCACGACTTGGACGTTTACCTGTCTAATCACACACCTCGGAAAAATGACACTAAAAATGACACTAAAATGACAATACAAGAGATAATTAAAGAACAATACAAGTCATAAGCTAAAACATGAGATTTCGTATTAATGAGTCAAAAAATACAAGAGAGGATTCAAGAACAAAACAAGTCACATTTCATCAACTAATTCTTCTTCAGGAAACAAACCACAAGCTCCCATATCGTATAAATCTCTAGGTTGAACATGAAATCCTACATTCCAGCCATACTCACTTGGATCTTCAACATAGTATACCATTCTTGCTTGAGAGGCTAATATGAATGGTTCATCTTCCTCACTTTCACCACTATGTATAATACGTGAAAAATTCACCAAATTATTACCAAGACCATCTCTTCTGTATCCACGACTATCACCTGTATCTGCCCATGTGCACTTGAATAACACTACTCTGAACTTCTCGTAATAATTAAGTTGAATAATGTCCACCAACTTACCATAGTAGGGAACATTACCAGCCATTGGATTATTATCACGAGAAGATGCATAGCTCATGGTCTCGGCAGAAATATAAACTCCACAATTCTGAGTTTTCAAATCAGAATCCCTTTCTAGAGTTCTATACTTATATCCATTCACGCTATATGATGAGAACTTCAAAACTTTGTCAGAAGGACCTTTAGCAAGAAGTCGGATATCCTCACTAATACCATCAATCTCATCCTTTTCTACTTTCTCTCTAAGCCACTTGTCAAAACGAAGATGGACTTTTCTATCTACATCTAAGGTATAATGTCTTCTCCTACCACGAGTATGAGTTCTTCTTAACTCATCTTTATACTTCCTAAAATGTGAAGAAAAAACTAGTTTAGTATACTCAACAAATCAAGATGTAATGGCGAAATACTTACTGTCGTAATTCATCAAGAAATGGGCAGCTAATCAAGATATAACGATGTGCTAGTTGTTTCTCCATGAGACTTAGTGTTGCATATTGACTAGCACCATTACATCTCCCTAGGGATGGAAAGACTATCGGATTTTTTGAGCTTTCTCTGAAATTATGTGAAGACATTGGAAGATCATTTACTCTTCCAATTTGGTTGAAGCATGTCTCTATCCCATCAAGATACATTGAGCAAAATGTCAGACACTCATCAGCCATATATTGTTGACATATTGATCCTTCAGGTTGTGCATGATTTATGACATATGATTTGAACCGTCCTAGGATCCTACAAAAGAAACAAAATTAAGCAAGATTAAGACTCAAAGTAAGCTCAGATTAAGACTTAAAGTAAGTAAACTCTGATTAAGAACATACCTTTCCACTGGATACATCCAACGAAATTGGACAGGACCACCAAGCTTTATTTCTTCAGTCAAATGAATGGTCAAATGCATCATCACCGTGAAGAAAGATGGAGGAAACAGCATCTCCATATGACATAGTATAATCACAATTTGCTTTTGGAGATTAACTAGCTCGTTTACATCCACCACCTTGGAGCATATCTCTCGGAAAAACTGACAATTCTGTTATGACAGAAGTCACATTTGGTGATGACACATTACGAATAGCAATGGGTAACAAGTGACCCATAATCACGTGACAATCATGACTTTTTAGTCCCTGCATTCTACGCTGCCTTAGATCAATACACCTTGAGATATTAGATGAAAAACCATCTGGGAGCCTTGCGCCTTTTAAGATACCAAGAAATGTATCTTTCTCACTAGTTGTTAGCTTGAAAGATGCAGGAAGATACTTCTCGTTGCTATCTGGCCATAATTCAGAACGTATACCCATCTCCTGAAGATCTTTTCTTGCCTTAAGATTGTCTTTCGACTTTTCTTTGTCATCTAATAATGTGATACAACATTATCAAAGACGTTTTTCTCTATATGCATAACATCTAAGTTATGTCTTAATAGAGCATGTTCCCAATATGGCAGTTCAAAGAATATACTCTTCTTTCTCCATTGCTGTCCCCTTACTCTTCTACTAATATCTGAGCTTTTTCCAAAAACAACATCAACACTTTCTTGTTGTTGCAGAACTATGGAGCCTGTTGGTGTAACTGGAGGATTTCTAAAGTCTTCTTTTCCATCAAAATTTTGCTTATCAAACCGATATATGTGATCTTCCTCAAGAAAGCGCCTATGACCCATGAAACAATACTTTTGTCCATGTTGTAAACAATTCAGCTGCATCGTAGTTACAAGAAGGACATGCTAAACCCGTGTGAATATTCCAGCCTGACAAATTTCCTAATCCTGGGAAATCACTCAAAGTCCACATCAAAGCTGCACGCAAACAGAACATCTCCTTTGTTGAAGCATCAAATGCTTGAACACCATCATCCCATAACTCTTTCAGTTCTTTGATCAAAGGCTGCAAGTAAACGTCAATATCATTCCCAGGCATTTGTTTTCCTGGAATAACATTGACAATATTGTTGAAGACTGCTTCATTGCTATCCATGGAGGGAGATTGTATGGAAACAAAAGAACTGGCCATATACTATAACTTGTACTCATAGCCCCAAAAGGATTGAATCCATCAGTAGCTAACCCAAGCCTTACATTTCTGGAATCTGATGCAAAAGTATGAAACTTTTGATCAAATGTTTTCCATGCTTCCCCATCTCTAGGATGTCTTAGCTTTCCATCTTTATTTTCTCCAACTGCATGCCACTTCATACTTTCTGCACTCTTGGATGACATATACAATCTTTGAAGTCGTGGCTTTAGTGGAAAGTAATGCAAGACCTTAGCAGCTTGTCTTTTCTTCTTTCTTTTCTTTCCCGACACTTCCTCGTTCTCTCCTTTGCTTCTGTGCTTTTACCTTTCCATCTTGATATGTTACAAATCTTGCACACTTCTCGCTCTGAATCTTCTCCCCAAAACAGCATACAATCATTTGGACAAGCATGAATACGCTCATAATCTAGTCCAAGTTTATGAATGGTCTTCTTTAAATCATGAAGTGAAGCAGGCAGCTTGGCATGTTGAAACGCTTCCCTTAGTAGATCAATTATCATTGATAAACCCTTATCACTAATCTTGGTTATACTCTTGATGTGATATAGCTTCAGCATAAAAGATAACTTTGAGAATGAAGTGCATCCCTCGTAAAGTTCTTCATTAGCCTCTGCTAGTAATGCTTCAAACGCTCCTCTTTCATCAGAATGACTTGACTGACCTGCAGCTTCTTCTTCGTTCGATGGCTGATTAGAAGAACCAGCTCTCATCAACATTCAGGCACAATTTGGGAAGACATCATCTAGTAGATTCATTGTAGTATCTTCATTCAACCTATATCTACTTGAAATTCTACGGATGTAGAAGTTCCTATTAACTGTTCACCGTGAAAGTGCCAGTTTTTATAACTAGGCAGAAACCCATAATACATCAAATCTCCTCTAATATCCTCTCTATATCTGTTCTTAACTAAAGAACATCGACAACAAGGACATTTTAGCATTGTAGCATCAGTGTTCGAAAATGCAAATTCTAAGAATCCTTCAACCCCATTGATATACTCTTGAGACAAACGAGGTTTGTTAATCCAAGATTTATCCATAGAAACTGCAAAGAAATAATCACAATTCAATACTATCCCTATCAGATTAAAACAATGACAACAATCGCAACTCAATACTATGTATCAGATTAAAACAATGATAACAATCACAACTCACATGTACAGAACAGAGGCAGCAATCACAAAGCAATCAAAAATCATGTACAGAACAAAGGCAGCAATCATCCAAAGGCATCAATCTACTCAGTAAACTCAAAATGGCCATTCATGGAGAAATGTCAGTGTACATGTTTTAAACACAATACTCAAAATTCAAAGTACAGCAATCTACAGAACAAAGGCAGAAATCATCCAATGTACAGAAATCATTATTTTGATCTCAAACTCAGTAGCAATCATCCAAAGGCAGAAATCATCTATATACACAATGATGATTCAACGAGAATGGGATCTCAAATTCAATAGAGCAACGAGAATGAGAAACATATATGTTTAAGAGAAGCGTGATTGTCAAAACAATCGATCAAGTGACGGCAACACCAACATAAGCGTGATTGTCAAAATTTCTCGTCTAGAACCTAAAAACCCAGAAAAACTCAATATACACCGGAAACCAAATCGAGCAAACCCAGAAATTCGTCGACTCTGATTCAACAATAACTAAAAGGAAGAGAAATTTGAACAAATAGAACACGAAATAGAGATCGATTCCACAATTCGAGACCAAAAGCACAAGCAAAATCACTAAGTATGCAAATTAGACCAAAATCTCAAAATAAGTTCAGCCATACCTAATTAATGAGTTCTGGGATCAGCGATGGTGATGATGGAAAGGTTCTAAGCGATCGGTGACCTCGGTGATGGTGATTTGATCGGAGATCCAGAGCTTCGCCGAGATCGAGCTGATCGCGAAGCTTCGCGATAAGAGAGGAGAAGTTTTTTTCTTTTCTGATTTTTTTTCTTTTACTGTTTCAACGGCATTTTGTTTTTTTTTTAAATTCAAACCATCTTTAATCATTTTTAAAAATACTGGAAATAGGGATTATTACATCATTTACCTATAAGTGATACTAAAAATTGTTTCTTTGTGTCATTTTTAGTTTAATGATATTAAAAACTAATTATTAGTGTCATTTGTAAGTAAAATGATACAGTATCTTTGTTTTAGTGTCATTTTTAACAAATGATACTTTCTAATTTGATTAATTTTTAAGTTAATATCATTTTTAACAAATGATACAAGATAAACGACATTAAAAAATGGTTTCTGTAGTGTCTATTGATCATTTAGATCTAGATTCTAAACATTTCCTACATAAAAAGTGTTTGGAGAAATGTTGGACCCAACCAACAAGGAGATTTACTTTTCTAGCTCACGACAATGATTGTTTAGAGAGCTTATTGGTTTAGTAGAGTTATTTTCTACTGCTGGCTTGAATACTTTTCACTAACGAAAGTTAGCTCTTGGATTTGGTGTTTGCTTTGTGTTTTTTTCCATGAAAATAGATAAATCTTGTTTCTTGAACTCTCTTCCTAGGGTTTAGCTTTTGTTGTGTTTATCTAAACATCATTATTGATCTCTAGGATTCTCTAATCAATAATCCCATCCTAAGACCTCTTTCTTCCTTTGAGTTTATCTATTTGCTTGATTCAATTTTCTTTCTTGTTTAGTTCATGATTTCAAATTTCTCATTTATGTTTATTTTGGTTATTTACTGTTCCTTTCGGATTTCAACCAACAAATTTATTGCCCTTAAATTAAGATATTTCTGGTATTCTTTCTTGTCCATATCTTAATCCATTATGGATTGACTCTCAAAACCACAATGACATGATGAGTGAGATTGTTAATTGAACATAAAAAAAATCCTATAGTAGAATCTCTATAAAATAATACACTATAAGATAATAAATTTCTTCGGTTCCAATTCGGGCCAATGTAAAAAATAGCAAAATGCGATAAGATAATAAGATAATAATTTTTTTGAAACTCCTATGTAAAAATATAGTCTCAACAATAAGTTAAAGTAATAATTATAAAACTTATGCATATATATCTAAGGCAGTTTAGTAAAATATGACTCCAATGTAGAGAACGTGTATATAAACAAAATAACGTGTTGTACAAAAAAAAGTAAATGTGTAAAAAGAAAAATGGAAAACTACATAATATGAAATATGTAAATAACAACGTATAATGAAAATTTGAATAAAAAACTGAAAAAAATATATATTTTTATAAAGTTTCTTGTTTTTATAGAATATTTCTATAAAATAATTATTATTATCTTATCGATAAAATAATAACTCTATAAGATAATAAATTTTCAAAGTCCCAACATTATTATCTTATAAAGATTTTACTGTAGTTTCAACTCATTATCACACAAAATAAACATATACAAAACTAATTAGGTAAACAAATTAATTCAATAGTTACATTTTAACTTGTTGTCGATCAATAATCAAAATTTCATCACCTAGATAAAAAAAAAATGTATTTAGTAAATATAATGATAAAAATCAACTCGAGTTAGAGCTTCTATTGGATTGACTTATGAAAAAGATATATGATTTTTTTTTTTTTGTCAACAGCCTCAATTTCTAAAACAGTTCGGGAATCCAAACTGGTGAAACAAAGTTTATATAATACACATTTGTAGGTAGAGCTCGAGCACTTCGTGCTAACTTGTCTGCCTTCGTGTTTTCCTTTCTTGGTATATGCATGATGGTAAAAGAGCTAAAGCTCCTCTTACATCTATCCACCTCGTCAAGCAATAGTGAGAAAGCTGGCCATTCCTCTAGTTTAGACACCATTTCACCACATCGGAACAGTCCTCTGAAAAACCATAATTAACTTGTTATTCCTTAGCGTACATTGCATAACCCAAATGAGAGCTTCCAACTCCGTCTGAAGTGGTGATATCCCCCGCCTCAGATTACATGTACCCATCAATTTGTCAAGAGTGTCTGTGTTAAAATAATACCATCCAAGTCCAGCTCTACAATCTGTTTCCTTCCAAGCCCCATCCACCTGACATATGTCACCCGACACCGATACTTCGACATGGGCTTCTGTATTGGCCTTCTGTAGGCGTTCTTGGGCATTTGTCCATGCAATGGATTCCGCCTCTGCCTTAACAATAAACTCGTTAGGATCCCAGTCCACATTGCTCATGACTTTGTCATTACGTGATTTCCAAATTAACCAAGGGTACATCTTCATCCTCTCATCTTTTGGCAAATGCCAAAATAGTTGTGTCATATTTGTAAACAGTCCTCCTGTTGGAAAATGCCCTGATGCTGTCGGGATCGGGGATAATGCCTAAACTTGTAGTGCCGGTGGACACTCAAATAATGTGTGATCTACAGTTTCCGGCGCCATTCCACAACGCGTACACTGCGGGTCTATCTGCATGCCCCGACTCCGTAATCTCGCTCCGACCGCTATGCATCCCGTTAATGCTTGCCAAAGGAAGTGTTGCAGCTTCTGAGTACATTTTATTTTCCATATCTTTGCCTGGAGCCCCCGTGTATATGGGCCAAACAGAGTTCATTTGGCTGGTCTCAGGGAAGAAGCTGGAATCCATGGATCATCCCAAATAGAGATAAATATTCCTGAACCAACCTTTTAATAAGATATATGAATTTTACAAAGTGAAATGTTTTATTTTTATTGTTTCACGTTCTCTTCTTAAATAGAGAAAATTTAAATTTTTTGTTTATCCGAATAAAAACATTTACAGAGAGTCTTCGTTCTCTTTAAACTCATGCGCCGCTTAAGAGAGCATCAATGGCGTTACTTCGTTTCAATCTCGAATCCATCTCCAAGACGCACCCATGGCTTCTCCTCCTTCTCCTTCCATTCAAAAATTGATCCAAATTCCGAACAACAACAGCTTCTCATTGACACCATCACTAAATCATTGCGAGACGGCGAAAACTGGGACACTCTATCCACCAAATACTCCTCCGTCGTCTTCTCCGATCCCCTCGTCGAGAAAATCCTCCTCCGTTTCAAACAACCAGAAACCGCCAAACGCGCACTAACCTTCTTCCACTGGTCAGCCCGAACCAGCAATCTCCGCCACGGAATCTCCACTTACGCCGTCGCGATCCACATCCTAGTCAAAGCTCGACTGCTCATCGACGCTCGAGCTCTAATCGAATCGGCTCTGTTAAATTCTTCTTCGTCTCTACTCGATTCGTTGCTCGCTACTTACGAGGTCTCTTCCTCTACACCTCTCGTCTTCGATTTGCTGATTCAAGAGATCGCTAAGCTTCGATACCTGGAATTAGGGTTCGACGTTTTCCAGAAACTAATCGCCGATCGCCGATTCTCTCCGAGCGTGATCACGTTAAACACTCTCCTCCATTTCTCGGCGAAATCGAATCGGATCGATCTCGTCTGGAGAATCTACGAGCTCGCGATCGGTAATCGAAGTTCACCGAACGAGACGACGATCCAGATTATGATCGGTGCGTTGTGCAAAGAAGGGAAACTGAAAGAGATAGTCGATTTGATAGATAAGATTCACGGGAAGAGATGTTCACCGCCGGTGATCGTGAACACGAGCTTGGTGTTTAGGGTTTTGGAATCGGATCGGATTGAATTAGGTTTGAGTTTGTTGAAGAGATTGTTGCAGAAGAACATGGTGATTGATACGATTGGCTACTCTCTCGTCGTGTACGCAAAGACGAAGGGAGGAGATTTGGAGTCTGCACGGAATGTGTTCGACATAATGCTTCAGAGAGGCTTCGACGCGAACGCTTTCGTTTACACGGCGTTTGTGAAAATGTATTTGAGTAGAGGCGATGTTGAAGAGGCGGAGAAGTTGATGATTGAGATGGAGAGCTCCGGGATCGATCTGTATGGAGAGAGTTTTGATGCCGTTGTCAAGGGTTTCGCGAGGTTTGGGAGAGAAGAAGAAGAGAGCTTGAGGTATTGTGAGGTAATGGTGAAGAAAGGTCTTGCTCCTAGTTGTTCTGCTTTAAATGAGATGCTGAAGAGAGTGAGAAAGATTGAGAATGTTAAACGAGCTAACGAGATGTTAACTAAGTCGATGGAATTAGGGTTTGTGCCTGATGAGGATACGTACTTGCATTTGATTCGAGGGTTTGTAGAAGGGAACGATGTCGAAGAAGCTTTGAAGCTGTTCTACGAGATTGAGTATCGGAAGATTTGTCCTGGTTTCGAGGTGTTTAGGTTGCTAATTGTGGGACTTTGTTCTTGTGGTAAAGTGGAAGCCGGAGAAAAGTACTTGAGGGTTATGAAGAGAAGGTCGATGGAGCCTAGTGAAGATGTATACGAGGCATTGATCAAGGCTTTTCGAAAAATTGGGGATCAAACGAATGCTGATAGAGTTTATGATGAGATGATATCCAATCAAATGAGTCAAAATCGTGTTACGGTTTTGGGATAGTGGTAAACACTAATGTAGTTGTAGTTTCCTTAGTTTCAATGTCATCTTGCAACACTCTTTTAGTAGATACATAATTAGGTTTTGTAGGTTATTGTACTTGGACTAAGAGATTAGATTTGACATAGATCAAGGATGTTTTCTGTTAGGTCCCAAATTAGGACAAAACTACTGATGATCAAGAACAACAAAGAACAAGAACACTTTGGTTCTTAAGACACAAGTTACTTCAATCTTCTCAAATCCTTTTCATTCACGACATGATGTCTTAAATATACAATAGGGAAATAAACTAACTCTTAACTATCACATGTAGTGGGATCACAATCCCTTTAGTTTAGGAGTAACCGTTTTCACGATTATGATCTCATCATTTTCGGGCATCAGTCTCGCTATCCGAGTTGTTTAGCTTCAAATCGTCCAGTTTTTTTTTTGTGTGCCTGAAATGGCTGTTTTATAGTCAGTGTCGGTTTTGGTCATTCAAACAGAGCAAAACAAAACCAAACCTATTGACTAAAAACCTAACTTGTTCTAAAACTGAGCTCATATTACATAAAGCTATATAAAAAACAGTAGTTAGAAACATGTCTAATACATCTAGTGTGATCAACGTCTATGCTATTATATTTTGTGTTATTTTACCGTGTAGAAAAAAGAAAAATGTGTTACTTCTGTTTAATGTTGAAGTTATATGAGCAATGGTTCAGTTGTTCAAAAAAAAAAAAAAATGAGCAATGGTTCTAAACATTTGTTTGTTACTTTACTGCAGGAGAAATATTAATTTCACCATTGCTCTGTATAATAAACAAAGTTAGTGGAAGATATCGAGGGTGTGAATGGTAAGCAAGTTACAGTAAACTAGAGTAAAACAATTTAGTTACTCTATCTCGACACAAACCAGAGTAAAACTTTTTTGTTAATAACTGATTTGGATATTTTTTCAGCTGAAAACTTTACTCCATATAAAAGAGGAGGAAAGTTTTACTCTAATTTTTGCAAGTCCATACCTTTTCTTTTAAACTTTTTATTCCACCATTCACTCCAATTTGTGTACCATTCAAAGCCTAATGTAATATAGAAAAATTCCAATTCTCATTTTCTATTATGTTCAAACTAAAATGATATGGAAACAGAAAATCTAACTAAATGTCGCTGACTCGACTCGAAAACATTTAAAACAAAATTAAAGTTCCTATATTCGAATGGTATTTCGAATGAGACTATTGTATATATTACACCTAGGGAGAGGTATGAACCTGGACCTAGAATCTCGTAGTCAAGAAAAAAAATCTAAATAGTAAATATCATAGATGATAGATACCACATGTATATGTGTACATATATACAGTTGTGTATAGGATTCTTTATCGTTACAAAGTGTATCCCCACCACCATATATGTCACATGAAAAGGCATGTTATATTTTTTTTGGTTAGACAACAATTTTTAATGGTCCTTGTAGTTTCTTCTTCTTTATTCCCTTATTGTTCTAAGCCTCTTACAGCCTCTTCTTTATTTTCAATCAAGAAAAAGAAAGAACTTGCAAGATCCATTGGTGATTACATATTTTTGGAGTAAGATCAGATAAGATAAAGCAATTACTAATTAAGAATATAAAGAGATGTGGTGTCAACATGGTTTCTAAAACAGTTTCGCCGTTTAATATATCTTGGTAATTCTTAGAAATACATATAACATTGATTTATATGTGATCATATATGTCGGTAGAAAAGTTATCATAATACATCACTACATCAACATCTCAAAAGTTGTCACATGTACATTCTTACTATTCAAAACAAACATCAAAACTCATAGAAAAACTCAGAATATGTTTCATTTTTACCTTTTACCCTTCGCCTTCCTTTACTTACATTTAACTCTAAACATCGTATATCCCATCATTCAAAAGCTAAAAACCTATACGAAGAAAATATGTTACGCAAACATATTATTTTATATTGATAAGTGATGCTGAGGAGGTATTTGAAAAAGTTTAAAAGTATACAAGATCTTACATTTTAGAATATGACGTAGCATCTTCGTCATACGTATTAACTAGAATTAATTTTTATCCCACCAAGAGAATGTAGCATGTAATTAGACGTAAAGAAAAATAATGTGACATGTAAATTACAAATGTACCGTCGAATGCATGTGTAACACATGCAGAGAAAACGATCTGAATATTTATTGTGTCCACCAAATATCAATCTATTTTAGATAAACTTCTTCAAGAAACATAACAAATTAATTATTCTAAAATGAAACTTAAATAAAATGAAGTAAATGTGAAAGATTCTCTTTTAATTACTGATGTTGCTTGAAAGTGTCCTGTCATTGGTGGAGACCAATAGTGAGTTAGTGACTCAACTTGTTCATTACAAAATATATTTTTGATCTTGTGATTGTAAGTTATACTATTCTTTGTGATGAGCTTTCTGGAAAAAGTGTAGGGTCTTCTAATAAATCTTATGTATCTTTGATTGGTTGAACATTCAATTTATATTGGTGAAAAGCGATTTACCACTCACTATATCAATCTCCAATACTACCTCCGAATTATGTTTTAATGGTGACACTGATGTCTTGTTTTTCTTTTGCCAAGATTTTTACTGACTTTAGTGAAGTTAAATTTTTGTGCAATCGAGCAAGACATGATGGGATTGATGTGAAACGGACCGGAATAATATCATTTTTCATGAATTTTAAGATTATTTTGCTCCGAATGTCTTCATTCGAAGCATATGTTTGTTATATGGTAACACATTTGACTACTAACCAGATCTTGTATCGTTCAATGGATCTTATTGATATTGTATTCAATACTCATAATTAGGATGCACAGAAAATGTATTAATGTCAATAGAATCACTCTCTATTCATGATTGACATCTCTTTAAATACAGGCGATAAGATAATTAGATAAGAAAACTTATAGCCCTAAATACCAATTAGTAGAAGCTCACACTATTTAAATCTTTATAAACCCTTATCTCTCGATCTTACATCTTGTTTGTCATAAGAAACACATTCTTAATCTTTAAAACATAGTTATTCTTTCATTGCATTTTTCTCGAAATTACAACTTCTAATTCACTTCAGGTATCATATATAGGACCACACACTTTAACAACTCTTTTGGAGAGAAAATAAAAAAATTGAAAAGCTTGTGAGTGATGATAAATCGATTGAAGATGGGGCAAAAATGTGAGAGCGACAAGGAACGTGAGTCACATGGGACGACCGATCATATTATACAGCAAATCGAAAGTCCCCACACCAACATGACATTGGTGTCATATGTATGAATATGAAGGGCCAAGATCATCAGAAAAGAAAGAATAGGATCGTGTCATTGTGGACCTTGATTAAAGAGCAAATTCGTAATTTTACATTCTTTCTATTTATATTTTTTCTTTGGAATTCTTGAATTATTTTTTTTTCCGAAATTGGTTATGAAATTATTGGCCCTCTTGTTTTCGCCCCCACCATAACAATCCAACCACTTTAATTCCTTCTTAGTACAACAACGGCTACTTCACTTTAACATTGTCTAGCCTTTTTCTATTTCAAGTCAAAATCTTGACAATGCTCATGACCCCTTATGAAATCCACATTAACCATATTGTTATTATCGTACATATTATAGTTTCTTAACCCCAAAGCAAGTTGCTCGGACAATATTTAAGAACAAGAAGGTTTGAGTAGATATTGGCATCGTTTCTAGCCACTTGTTTAGGAAACCATTTATTACTCATTACATGAGAATATTAATTCATTTACGAGTAGCTCGATTTGTGTTAATTGGTTAGAATTATGGCATGAGTATGTTAATGGATCATCGTCGTAATACACATTATGAATACTATAGTTTCTTTGGTGGATATATTAGCAACATGAAAGACTCCGCTTTAAGTATGTTCTTGTATTAAGACTAACTCCCACATCTCATTACGCTCAAATGCGTCGAACTGAACAAACATAGTCCTAATACTCCAAGTCTTTTAATCGTAGTGCCGCATCGGAGGAAAGTTGACATAATTCTCACGTTAAAAACATTATCCTGTGTGTTTAACTTTTTTTTTTTTGTAATTATTTATATAATTGTAATAAATGTCTCTATTACTTGGATTCTGAGTGGTGACAGTAACACAAAGTCACAAACGATGTAGAATGATAAAAACAACATAAGAATAATTGAATAATACAAAACATACAGAACATGCGAATATGGACATAACAAAAATTATTGAACATGAGAATTTGATCTAGATTTATTATATCCTATGTGAAAACTATGTTTGAGATACTTTTCCTAGATAAATGTATCATAATTTTATTTTCTCTTGACCTTTACTCTTGCATTATATATATTCATATGAACATGATAAAGCATCAATAGATTTCTATTTCAGTTTATTAATGTAGTTACGCTAACCTTTAAAGGGTGTATAATCCTGTTAAATGACTAATTATCATGCTAATATCTATGAGAACTTGAGAAGGATATTTTTACATCCTACTAAAGGAGAGTGATCAGTCTTCGGATCTATTTCAATTCTTTTGGGTCACTTTTGACAACAACTTTTAATTAATCATGTTGATTTTCTATACGAAAATTTACATGTGGGTTATAAATATCAATTTATTACTGTTCTACACGTCGGCTACAAACGTGCGAGTAAAAGAGAGGTGTTTGGTGGACTTAAAAATAACTGCCTCAACCGGCATTTGTGGCCCGGTAGTAAATGATCCTCAGTTGAGATACCCGCCACCTGGGTTCGAATCTCGACCACAACGGATTTAACATCCCTTCCGTTGGGGCGCTAGACCCCACTTGTGGGGATAGTCGGGAATGTGGCTGCCCGGATACCAAAGTTATCAAAAAAAAAAATAAAAAAAAAATAGCTGCCTCATCATGAGATATTAAACGGTAAAGAAAATAAACAAACAATAAGCACAAGTGCACAACATAACATAAACAGTAAAATTCCTAATCGCTAACAAAATAAATTGAAGGTTTAGTAATGTGGAAAGAGGATTAAGAAAACAATCTCATAGTAGCAAATGGATGTCACTATAGCCGAAAAAATGGTGGTAGTTGGCTTTTAAAATTTGACTTTTTAACCTAAATTGTTTCTCTACGATCACAAAATTTAGTTGTTAATTCATTGCATTATCCATAGATACATACTCTTATGAATTGATGTATAGAAACCTCACAAATCACATACCCTAAAATGTTTCTTTGCAAATATAAATAAATTTATTACGGTACACTATGAATTGAGAATATCTCGTCCAAATAATGATGTCAGGTTTACATCAATCAACTGCATTTTTTCCGAGGGGCATATTTTGAAAAATTAAAAAATGATTCGCAAAAAAACTAAGACAAGGAATCTACAAGGTGGGATAGTGTTATTATTATTACAGTTATAAATAGGAAAATAAAAAAGGTAAATAAATTTCCTTTTATAAATTGCTTTAGATTGCGGTTGTACCACGGCTCTGCTCTAGCTTTTAAGAACTTGCCGGTACTAAATTTCATATACTCCAATTAAAAGCAAGCTCGAAAACCCATATTTTTATTTATTTTCCACAAAACAATGATACAGAAAATTATAATCATTATTTTTAAAATATTTTTTTTATTTTATTTCCTCAATTATTATGACACTCCCGTGTTCCTAATCTCCTCTGTTCTTTCTTTCTCTTCTTCTTCCTCTCTCTTTTTCTTTTAAGCTTACAAAATTATTATTATTAAAGAAATAAATATCCAATCTTTCTCGAATCAGGGGAAAAAGAAAAATGAAGAGGGATCATAACCACCGTGAATCTTCCACCGGAAAAGTTGGTAGCTCATCAATGACGGCGTGTAAGGAAGAAACCGCCGGATTCGACGAGCTTCTTGTGGTTTTAGGTTACAAAGTCCGATCTTCCGACATGGCTGACGTGGCACACAAGCTTGAGCAGTTAGAGATGGTTCTTGGCGACGGAATCTCTCATCTTTCCGACGATACCGTTCACTACAACCCTTGTGATCTCTCTGGATGGGTCAACAGCTTGCTTTCGGATCATACCAATCAAGAAAAAACCGAACCGGATCCGGTTTACGATCTCAGCGCGATTCCTGGCTCCGCAGCGTATCCACGTGGCAAAAGGATGAGAATTGAATCATCAGTGTCACCATCGACGACGACGCGCTCTGTGGTGGTTTTGGATTCTCAAGAAACGGGAGTGCGTTTAGTCCACGCGCTATTGGCTTCCGCCGAGTCGGTTCAACAGAACAATTTCAAGCTAGCCGACGCGCTGGTTAAGCAAGTTGGTTTGCTCGCGTCGTCGCAAACCGGAGCCATGAGGAAAGTCGCGACTTACTTCGCGGAAGGTCTGGCGAGAAGGATTTACCGGATTTACCCTCGAGACGACGTCGGTTTGTCGTCGTTCTCGGAGACTCTCCATATTCATTTCTACGAGTCTTGCCCGTATCTCAAATTCGCTCATTTCACGGCGAATCAAGCGATGCTCGAAGCTTTTGCCACGGCGGAGAAAGTCCACGTCGTTGATTTGGGGCTTAATCAGGGTTTACAATGGCCGGCTTTGATTCAAGCTCTAGCTCTCCGTCCCGGTGGTCCACCGGATTTTCGGTTAACCGGAATCGGTTCTTCGTTAACCGGTGATTCGATTCAAGAAGTGGGATGGAAACTCGGTCAGCTCGCGAGTACCATCGGTGTGAATTTCGAATTCAAGAGCATTGTGTTGAATAATTTATCCGATCTTAAACCGGAAATGCTCGAGATTCAAACCGGTTCAGAATCTGTAGCGGTTAACTCGGTTTTTGAAATTCATCGTCTCTTGGCTAATCCCGGTTCGATCGAGAAGTTTTTGTCGACGATTAAGTCGATTAAACCGGACATTGTTACAGTGGTCGAGCAAGAAGCGAACCACAACGGAGCCGGTTTTCTCGACCGGTTTACCGAGTCGCTTCATTATTACTCGAGCTTATTTGACTCACTCGAGGGTCCACCGAGTCAAGACCGAGCCATGTCGGAGTTATACTTGGGACGACAGATACTGAACCTAGTGGCCTGCGAAGGAGAGGACCGGGTCGAGAGACACGAGACGTTGGTTCAGTGGAGAAACCGGTTTGGTGTAGCGGGATTTAAACCGGTTAATATCGGTTCGAATGCGTATAAGCAAGCGAGTATGTTGTTGGCACTTAACGCAGGAGCTGATGGGTATAAAGTTGAAGAGAACGAAGGTTGTTTGTTGCTTGGATGGCAAACGCGACCGCTAATCGCTACTTCTGCGTGGCGTTTCAGTCGTGTGGAGTAAAAATTAAATATTTTGGGGAAGTGATAAAAAAAAATGTTTGCTATATATAGTTTTTATTTGCAGTTTGCTGCTAAAAAGTCCCACGTTTTTTCCAAATTTTTATGAACTTTTTGTTTACTTGTTTTCCTTGAAATTTTGAGCTCATGCCAATGAAATCAAATTTAATTGTCACGTGCAAACCATCGATTTCTTTTTTTTTTAACAGAGAAAATAAAAAATTAGTTTAATGCAAAAGAAAGAAAGAAAAAAATAGGTAAAGAAAGCATTTTTCTTTTTTGGTAGTTATTGTGTTGTATTTGATGTGCATGAATTCACAGTAGACACTAATCCAATCGCTTAGATTCTTTTCTTTTGTATAATTATTGTGTCAAATTTTAAGACCATGTGAATGTGATGGTATCCGATGTTCATCACTCATCAGTAATGACTGAAACGAGATGATAAGCTTCGTATGAAGCAATTAGACAACATGTTTCAACATATTTATCAACGGATTAATCCTGAGAAGCATCTTAAACACATTTTCTATACACCCAAGAATATACTTACATTATGTATTCAGTATTATTGTATATACATACATAGTAACAGATAATATATCATTTCTATCAGAACATGGATTATCATTAAGTATATAAAGTGAAATATTGAAAAGGGAAATAAAATTGATGTAAACAAAAGAATTAAATTCTAAGAAGATCAAAAGAGATAGACAACAAATAGAAAATGATTTTTGTTCAAAAGAAAAATGAGATAAGATTTTATGAAGGAAAAATAAATGTTTGCACAAAAGAAAAAGAAATATATATAAATATATATATATATATATATTTTCTCTTTAATTATTGTATTTTTGGTTAATGGTGTTTCAGGTTTTTGACTAATACATTACGTCTTGAAACTCTTAAGAACCTGTCTTTCTTACTTACACCCAGTTATCCCCAAAAAGAAAAATGAATCTGTCTTTCTTACTGATGCAAATAAAAAAAACACTGATCTTTCTTACTCACTCACGTCTGTCATAGGTACGGTGGTTTCAAAATCAGTGATGAGATATGCTTTGGGTTGAGTAAGTGATCTAGTTAAAAAGTTTTTAGTGTACTAAAAAAAACTCTAATTTAGTTGAAGTATTGGAAACGGCTATTCCACTCTCCCACGCTTTCTAGATTAGGAATTATATAAATCAGGGCCCTATAAATTATATGCAACAATTTCCAAATTAAAAACTACAGTAGTATAATATGTGTAAAACAAAGACAAGTAGTCGTCTAGTCATTTGAATTAATAACATTGTATATCAATATATCATTCGGATTCAAATTCAAAAGAAAATGTGAACTAGACTATTGTTGTTGGTTATTGTAGTCTGTAGACGTCTTAAATAACATGAATGATCAGCTCTTCCTAGATTAAAAAAAAAACAATAACGATAATATGGACCACTCATTAAGTTCTCTTGAGTGAGCATAATGCTAAGACGAGAGACTTTAAGTTTGATTGGTTAAGGGGTCATCATCTCCCTATTAAGGAGGACATTGGTGTGTTTAAATTGTGTTTGTGCTCCTTTGATGCTGATTTCATTATCATAGACCACCAAACAATATCAACCCTCATACATGGACATTCTTGTTATCGCATGTTAAATTTACATCATTCTAAGAAAAAATATTCGTAAAACTTTTGAGCTAAAAAATAAGAAAATAATTCTCTAATCCAATTTTTTTTTTTGGGGTGCAAATGTGAAGAGAACCAAAAGTTTTCTTAAAGGGTTTAGACTAATTGAGAAAATAAACGCTTAACTAGTACGTACGCATGTTTAATAATTCACCGACGCTAATACCAACATATTAATAATTAATATATTATTTCTCCTTCTTCTAGTTTGAAAATGAGTTTGAAAGAAAGGGAGAGTGGTATATTCCAGATTTGTTCAGAATATTTGTGATTGGTTTGATTAAGATGTATTTCAGATTTGATCAAACTCCTTAGCTGTACGTAGGAGCGCTTTGCATGGACGTTAATATTCTTGGAGATTTGCAGAACAGAAAGAAAGAAAAAACAATCTGTCAATTAATGACATGATTGTATTGACTCTAGCTACTTCCTTGGGGGATCTTATTTGTGGTGAGTAGTGAGCTTGTGATATATTTATTTAAGCTTGCTCACCACAAAAATAAGTCAAACATTTTACAAAATTCGGATATATGGTGTCTAATCTAAAAAGAGTGTAATAAATAAATAAAAAAGGTTAAGTTTTTGTATTTGTATCTAAAACTTTTGTTGAAAAAAATAACATTTTAAACCTTTTTATATTTACATAAACTTAGATTTTTACATTTATATAGTTATTTATTGATTTTTTTTGTGCCAGGAAATGTAAAATATACATACAAAGACTTTTGGGTAAAAAAATAACTGGTTCGTCCAAGAGTCTACAAAAAACAGAGGTTAAATATATCAAAACAGTGTAATTTGTGGAGCTCCATTGACTATGTAAGTTATTGCTATCAACATGTTGTTGCAATATACTATCTGTGCAATCTACGTAACGCCATGATGGTTGCAAATAATATGCGCTTCCCTGCAGTAAGATTATGATTATCTCAACTATAAACTGTATATTTAGGTGTAGAGTTATTACCAACAATATTCCTGCTGAAAAATAAAATTTGTGGCAAGTTTTTAGTAATCTAATCTTCTTCATGTTGGAAAAAAACGTTCTAAACTTGCCACAAAACTTAATTACATACTATGTCATATCTAATCTATGTATATTCCAAAGTCTCCTCCAATTAATTCACCAAACTTTCACAGTTTTGAAAGTGATATTGAGAAATGTGAATGTGACGTACGTGTTCATTTAAGTCACTTTCGCATGTTATTTAATATTGAGAAATGTGGAAGCTACTATCCAGTTAATTCAGATTATATATTGTTTTACCATGTTTTTAGTATAAAGTTATCTTACCTAGTTCTTGAAGTATTGTATTCTAGGTTTTGTACATCTAAATTCAAATTAGTGTACATACTTTATAATTCAAATAAAAAAGTTTCATGATATTCCGTCTGACCCACGCTATCTCCATTTGAACATAAAGCTTTGAATTATCAAGAACCAAGTTGGTTCTCTCTTTCTCTCTACTCAACACATACTTCATTAGCTACCTATTTGCAATATGAGGCCTCCATTTTGTAACAACTTCTACTGATTTCTCAGGAGATGGCTTACCGCCACAACCTCCACCACTTCATCATCATCGTCGTCATCATCATCATCATCGTCGTCGTCATCATCATCATCATCAAAGGTTTCCAATCTGAAAACACATAAATGTTTAATCAGGCCACAACCTCTAGTACCACTTTATCTCCATCATCTTTGGTGCTGTTACTGTATATCTCTCTTCTTTAGCTTCATTATCCTTCAACTTCAAAACATCTCCATCATTTTTCTCTAGCTCACCACCAAGGGTATCAATCGCCAAAGGCTCCTCCATGCTACACAGAAGCATAAATATACTTACGTCAAGAGAGATACCATCAACTAGAGAAAAGTGCCGGAAAGGTATTTTCAGAAAGTTATCAGTCCAGGTTTGACGTAAAAAGCTTACGTTAGCTGATGTAACGATTATGACAAACGAACAACCATATACTATACAATAATAAATGAAGCAAGTCGATGGACTCAATAAGTGTGCAGTAATTTAGAAAACCCATTTGCAAGATTTATAATGTTATTATACGAGTATGAGGAAACAAGCTTCCCAAAGACTTTTACGAAAACAAAACCAATGAGAGCACTCAAATCACTTAGTCTTTTAGTAAATTAAAATTTATAATTAATCCATTTTTCTCCTCCACATATAGCTTGTGCAAAGCCAATACCCTTCTTCTTCTCTCTCTCATGGCTTCTTCTTCTTCTTCCTATTCTTTGGATCACGTTATGAGATACCATGTCTTTCCGAGCTTCCACGGACGAGATGTCCGTAGAGGCCTTCTCAGTCATTTACACCAACGGTTCTCAACCAACGGGATCACGACGTTCAAAGATCATAATATCGAAAGAGGCCAGACGATCGGACCTGAACTCGTACAAGCGATTAGAGAATCCATAGTCTCAATCGTAGTGCTCTCGAAAAATTATGCTTCTTCAAGCTGGTGTTTAGATGAGTTGCTGGAAATCTTGAAATGCAAAGAAGCATTGGGGCAGATTGTGATGACCATCTTTTACGACGTTGATCCATCTGATGTTCGGAAACAGAGTGGAGATTTCGGAAGCGCTTTTGAGAGAACTTGTGAAGGGAAAACGGAGGACGATAAGCAGAGGTGGATCAAAGCTTTAGCATATGTTGCAACCATAGCTGGAGAACACTCTCTAAACTGGTTCGTCCCTTTTATTTTTTTTGGTTAAATAAATCAAGGCTTCGATTTCGAACACCGTTTTGTTTGCTTTTTGTTAGGGCTAACGAAGCAGAGATGATCCAAAAGATTGCGAAAGATGTTTCCAAGAAACTAAATGCTACACCGTCGATGGATTTTGACGGAATGGTGGGCCTGGAAGCTCACTTGACAAAATTAGAGTCTTCCTTATGCCTAGAATGTGATGAAGTGAAGATGATTGGAATTTGGGGTCCTGCAGGGATTGGTAAGTCCACCATTGCTAGAGATTTATATAACCAACTCTCTGCTGATTTTCCACTTAGTTGTTTTAAGGGAAGTCATAGGAGCATGCCTGTTGATGACTATGATTCGAAGTTGTGGTTGCAAAACCAACTTCTGTCTAATATTTTGAACCAAAAGAATGTGAAGATACATCATTTAGGTGCAATTAAAGAATGGCTACAAGATCAAAGAGTCCTTATCATTCTTGATGATGTAGACGATCTAGAGCAATTAGAGGTTTTGGTAAAAGAACCTTCTTGGTTCGGTTATGGGAGTCGGATCTGTTGGAACTCAATTTTTAATATTGAAGTTTATTTGAATGAGAAATGCTTGTCCAAAGTTTGTTGCTAAAAATGCACAAAATGGATTAGTGGATATTGTGGAGAAGTCCTAACAAGGTTAGAGACTTTGGAAAAATTAGAGAGAAGTGTGAACCACACTAAACCACATGTGCGCACACCGGGATAAGTCTGGATAGACTTGGACTCGGGTTTGAGTTTAGGTATGGGTTTGGGATAAACGGGCCTCGGTCCAATAACCCATATTTTTGTATCAAGTTTTTTATTTGTGTAACTGATCACTACATGAATTTAAACTTGATTAAAAAGTGAATAATCCTCATATTCTAAAGAGAATAAAAACTTTGTCAAAAAGTCTTAGGACAATTAATTTATAGATTAATGGTGTCCTTAATGACTATAATAAAATCTCTACTAATGCTCCAAAAAGGAGTTTCATACGTTGAATCCAATGGCTTAAATATAAAGCATTGGTGTCTTGAAACCTCATTCACACACATGGAAAAACAATCTCTCACCTTCTTTTCCTTTTTATTTTTTATTCTTTCTTATTTTGGTTTGAGAATACACACAGAACAAAGCGTTCGTTAGGTTTCTGATTTTGAGTGCTGCAAATCAGAAGAAGATGTGGTTGTATCTTGGGATTCTGATTGCATCAAACCGTCACACTACGGGCAATTAAAGAATTAAGGAAAGAGTAAACAAACCATTCTTTGTTCATCGTATTTTGGTATCATTTGTTGTTTCTTAAAAAAAGTTTTCTATCAATATATTTTGCACTTATTCAGTTTTGCCATATTGTTGAAATGATGGTCTTACAGGATCATCATTACCACAAAAGATAAAAAGATATTGAAGGCGCATGGAATTTTAGATATCTACCATGTAGAGTTTCCACCCGAAGAAGAAGCTCTTGAGATCTTATGTCTATCTGCTTTTAAACAAATTTCTGTACGAGATAGTTTCGAAGAGGTTGCAAAGAAAGTAGCAAAGCTTTGCGGTAATCTCCCATTAGGCCTTTGTGTTGTGGGTTCATCTTTGCGTGGGGTCAACAAGCAAGAGTGGGAACGGCAATTATCTAGGATCGAATCTAGTCTTGATACAAAAATTGAGGACGTTTTAAGAGTGGGATACGACAGATTGTTCAAGAAAGATCAATCTATTTTCCTTCATATTGCATGCTTCTTCAACAATGATTTAATTGATCATGTGACAACCATGCTCGCTAACTCAACACCCAAGTTTTTCTTTTCAATTTAAGTGGACCTTGGTCCGTGGGTCTCTTCCAATTAATTCACCCAAGTTTCACATTTTGAAAGTGATATTGAGAAATGTGAATGCGACGTAGGTGTACAATTAAGCCACGTTCCAGTCAATTAGATTATCTATCATATTCTTTTACCAAGTTTTTTAGTATAAAGTTATATTTCCATGTTTTTAGTAGGTTTTGTACATACTTCTAAATTCAATTTTTTTGGTGACCCGAAAAGGAGAAATTAAAAAAGTTTCATGAGTGTTAGTATTCCGTCTGTTCCACGCCATCTCTCCACTCAGAACATAAAGCTTTGAATTATCAAGAACCAAGTTGGTTCTCATAACTCACTCTACACATACTTCATTGGCTACCTATTTGTAATATGAGGCCTCCATTTCGCAACAACTTCTACTGATTTCTCAGCCGATGAGCTTACGGCCACAACCTCCACCACTTCATCGTCATCATCATCATCTTCATCATAATCATCATCATCATCATCATCAATGTATATGATCTCTGGACCAAATTGTTGTTCCTCATCAACAGCCTGCAAAAACAAAAACCACCCACCGTTTTAATCACGTAAAGGTTTCCAATCTGAAAACGCATTAAGGTTGAATCAGGCCACAACCTCCAAGACCACTTTCTCGCCATCATCATCGACATCGACGTATACAATATCTGTTGTTTCTGATTCGGTTCCTTTCATTGTGGTCTGCTTTGGTGCCGCATTTCTCTTTTCTTTAGCTTTATCATCCTTGAACTTCTCAACATCTCCATCATTTTTCTCTAGTTCATCACCAAGGCTATCAATCTCCAAAGTCATGCTACAAAGAAACATAAAAATACTGAAGTCAGAGGAGAGATACCATCAACTAGAGAAAAAGTGCCGGAAAGTTATTCAGAGAGTAAAAGGAGATAGAATTTTTTCACTTTTCTGAAGTCAAACCTGGATTCGTTTTCCTCCTTAGCATTCTCTTCAGAACATCTTAGCCTATCAGCAAGTGTAACACATTCATGTTGACAAGATTCCAGCTCTTTCTTTGCCTACATGTTACTTGCAAGAACATGAGAAACATGTTCTATAAGGTGGCAAGAAAAGTTTGAATTTTTAAATTTATTATAAGAGGTTCCTCGTTTTGGACGAACATACCTCTGACATTTCTGTAGACAGTGACTCAATTTGTATATTATATAGTCTGGTCATTTCCGCCATGGCCTTTGTCAAAGCATTTTCTTTGGACCTCCATAATGCTTTCTCTTCTTCCATCTCCAAAAGTGAGTTTTTAAGACGCTGAAAAACAGAAAATGTTACTAAATTTACACAAATGAATATACTAAGTTCAGAATCCGTTAATCACATATTATACCATTGCTAAATCTTCTTTTTCTTCAAGCAACTGTTTAACATTTGCTTCCAAACGTTGCTGCTCAGATGATGAGCCGCTGATTCTCATTTTCTGGAACAAAACATAACAACTCTTGAGCTAACACATACTAGTGAACTTCTTGAATCAATCATCAATGATTGCATGAAAAGACTTACAAGCTCTGTGTTATCTTTTTGTAGATGTTCTATTTGGGTATTTGAGTGCTTCAGTTTCTCTGTCAGAGCTGTGATTTCTGAATCTAAACCCTCATTTCTACATAGTGCCTTCTCCTTTTCTCCATGCTTAGCGACCAGCTCCTCCAGTGAAGCAATTTTCTTTTCCATTTCAAAAGCAAGAACTTCAAGATTTTTCAAATTTTCCTGATAAATAAGAATGAAATTTCACTTAGTATATATCCAAATTCAGCAAAAAGATGATTTTACATTTTGTAAGCTTTTCGATATTTCTGACTTTACATATTTCAACATTGGACAGAGTAATATACTAATATTAGAATGGTAAAAAAAAAGAAAAACCATGAGACAAACAAGAACCATTGCATAATATAATACCTGAAGCATTAAGGAAGTTTCCTGCTTCTTGGCTTCTTGATTTAGTTCTTCTAATTCGTTCTGTAGACCAACACACTTCTCTTGCAAAAGAAGCTGAAAAAGGGAATATCACGGCTTTAGCCAAAAGATTCCCACACATTTTACCTGAACAAAAAGTATCGGAGACCTTCTCATTTTCAAGATCAAGAACTTTTTGTTTCAGACAAGATTGGACATTTTGGTAGCTGCTGAGAAGTGAAGCATGTTGCTCAAAACTTTGGCGCATAGACAATGTGAAATCCTGCAGTGAGGACAAAATATTTAACATAAAAAGAACATGATAGTCTATTTTTACTACCAAGCCACAATTGAGTATACTTACATGTATCAAAGGAGAGTAGAAAGCAAGATCTTGGAGACATTCATGCATAACTGACGATATGGTTTCCACTGATGCTTTTGATTTTTTGAATTCAGACACTAAGACTTCAACTTCTGTTGCTAAGTTGACTAGAAAGTTAAAATTCCCCTTCGCAATAACAAGTGAAAAAAAATAAAATACAAATTTAATTAGACAATAGCATAGTGTGGTTGACAACAATATCAGTTTTAATTAAAACAAAACAAGAAAAACCTTTTTATAGTGATCATGATCACACTTAATTGATCTCAATTTCATTTCTTGCTCCTGCAAAAGTTTTTCTCTATGAGCTTCTGCCTTCTTCTTCTCCTCTTTTAACTCAAGTGCTATATGCTCTCTTTCTAACTCAGACTTCAGAAAAAAATACCATTAAAAGAATAAACAAAATTCGTAATCAAGAACGAAAAAAATGCAATACCTTCAACAAGGTCTTGTGCAAGTTAAGGATCTCTTCTTCCGAATGGTCATGTTGAGAAGCCTTTAATTTGGATTTGAGCTCCTTTATCTCCTTTTTTTGACGCTTTAGTAGAGCACCATCAGCCAATCTCTGAATTGAACAAGACGTGATAAGAAAATATGTTACAAAAGATAGGGAGAATATGCTCAAAAATGAAATGGATGTTACCTCATTGACATGAGCACAGTTAGTGACACCCATTGCTCGGCTAGCGAATTCAAGACTACTCTTGGTTTCATCTGCATGAATCTAACACCAAAACGAAATAAAAAATTAATACTATGTACTTGTACCAAATGGCCCAAATCGAACAAAGAATAAAATATAATACATTAAACATACCGATGCAAGCGTTACATTGCATACGATAGCTATATTTGCGTTTCCAGCTAAAGCTGGCTGCAAAATCCTTGTAAGCTTGCTGTCTCGGTACGGAACATGACCACTGATTCAACCAACGGAAATGACATTAAAGATTATACACATAATGCTTCTTAACTTAGTAGAACTAGACCAAAAAAAATGCTTACCCTTGATTTTCAACTCCTTCACTCAATTTTTTAATGACAGTCCCAAGTGTCATCAAGCTTTTGTTAATATGTGAGCCTTCTTTCAGCCTAACACCCGCTGCGCCGGTTTTCGCAGCACGTTCTGAACCGGCTAGCTCAACCAAATTCTACAAGTGAAATGAAAGATTAATCAACATAAAAAAAAAAACTGTTGCACATAAGTATAACAAAAAACACTTAGTTCCAAAGGTAATACCAGAACAGAGACACGGACTGTATTTCCAAAACCTTCATTTTGTATCTTCTGTCTACTTTCTATAATCTGTTTTGATGAAAAAAACCTGGCAAGTTAGAATTCAGAACTTACATATAGTTGAGAAATAAAATTGAGTTTATATATATATATATATTTTTTCCTTTTACCATGCGGAAGATAGTGTGAGATCTGCTACTGTAAGAATTCATATTTGTCACCCCAAAATGCCGCTGAGCTGAAAATGTTTATTCCAAAGAAAAATGATAATTCAATATTAGCAAAACCAAAACTGAGACAGAAGTTGGAATGAACAAATTAATGTGGATAAAAACAGAAAGTGCATACATTCTCCATATTCCATCATTTCAAGGACTTGTTGAGGAGAAGTGACAATGTCTTCTCTTAATCCCGCAACAAATATTCCTTTCTAAAAACATAAAGATTGAAAACAAAAACAATCAGAATTGCTAACAAATCTGTTAAAGGATATTCTGAGAAGATGATATACAAAGTGTACCTCAACATTTTCATGAATCTGTAGTTTTTGGTGTTCAGTAGCCAACAAATCCTTCATATCTTCGTTATATATCTCTAAGTAAGACACACGCAGCGAAAACTCTCTGCTTGTATCCTTTATGACTCAAAGAAAAGAAACAAAAAACATCTAAAATTACAAATATAGAAACAAAAAAACACAAAAATGGTAAGAATGGAACCTAAATACTGTCAAACAAATCATTTAAGGCAAGAGGAATCACTCCAGGTTCAATAAGTGAGCCTCTCATTGTATATGTCTTGCCACTATTAGTTTGTCCATAAGCAAACACAGTTCCTAATTCAAAACACAAACGTATATATATGATTAGCAAAAATCAAGAACTCAAGAACAGTTGCAAGATTCTTTAAACCAGTTTATACCGTTGAATCCACGAACGGCAGCAGCAACAATTTATTTTGTCCGTGAATCGTAAACTTCGACAGTTTTACAATCTTGTTTAAAAACCCTATCTGTTTGTAGTACCAAGAAGAAATCAAAATCTTGCAGAAGAATGAGACTTTAAAGTGTAAATGAGAAGACGCTCTTAAGAGAAAAAGGTACCAAATTTATATGGAGGAGAAGAGATCTTCCATGGACTTGTCTTAGTCTCCTCCGTACAAATCGGCCTTGCTCTGACGGAGACATGGATTCTCTCCATTTCTCCGATGAACTTCTCCGACGAAGATGAGAGCAACGTTTCTCGTGTTACTTAGAAAGAAATTTGAGAGAAAAATCTCTGGTTTGGAGTGAGAAGAAACCTGTGGATAATAATTGAAGACTCGATTTTTCAGTCGAAGGGCTTGAATTTGAAACGATTTAGGGTTCTAGAATTTACGAAAATGGGTGAAGCGGGAGACATTGTTTTTACGAGACGAGTTTACCCTTCTGGAATTTTGTGTCTGATAGTAGAATTGGAAGTGATGAGGGTGTTTTGGTAATATTCAAAGACGAGCTTTAGGAAGACGTTTGAGTTGCACAAACTGAAGTAATAAATAATAACTCGAGAAACGTGCTCTCATTATAATTTTCTCTGAATTGTTTTACTATTATATCACGTCAAAGTAGATAATTTTCTTCTTCTGATTTGACAATACGAAAATAGAGGCCTAAAACAAGAAAAAATTCTCAAAAATACCATGAAAACTTTTTTGGTAACAAAATTTACTCTTGAAAAGTATACTCCTGTTATAGTAGAAGAGAGAACAAGAGAAGAGAGGAATTGGTTGTGTCTTATTCCATTAGTAATGAGTCCTTATATAGGATTACAATATAGGGTTTTCCTTGGAGAGGAATACATTTGGAGAACAAGCTAGAACATTCTAGAATATGGGCCGATAATGGGCTTCCATATAAACTAGTTATAACACTCCCCCTTGGAAGTCCATTATCTAAAAATATCTTCTAAGTGCGCATGTGCTGCCTCGTTAAAACCTTACCAGGAAAACCCAAAGGGAAAAACCTTAGTTAAGGAAAAAGAGTACAGCGCGCAACTACTCCCCCTCATGAGAACATCCGTGTAGATTAGGTGAATGAACTTCTTGATAATAGCAGATGGAAACTCCTTTAAAATCTTCACTTGAACAGTCTTTAGAACATTGACATCGCCATTCTTCTTGGTTGCATGGATCAAGATGATTCATCTTGATCAATCTCCTTGCTTCACTTGATCTCATAAATAGATGACAAGACTTCTTTAGATGTTTCTCATTTGTGTGTTCTTTGTTGCCTCATTAAAACCTTTCATGGAAAAACCCAATGGGATAAAAACCATGATAAGGAAAAAGAGTACAACCACACATATCATCATATTCTCCCCCTTGGAAGCATCTTCTTCAGGAGATGCATTCCAATACTATCTTTTGAAGATTACTATAAGTATAACTTTGATGAAAGTCATTTAGACTTTTAGTCTAGGACATCTTTTTCTATAAACAATCATTTGGACTTCTGGCCAAATTTTCTCTTTTATATACATTCTTGTAAACATCTATCTTGTATATATAATCTCATCTCATTTTGCTCATTTTCAATTATGAAAGAGACTAACATATTTTTCAAATAGCATTTGAAGTATGGTACTTCAGGACCAAATATATGTGAGCATTGTTTATGTAAATCATGCCATAACATTTCTGGGAATTTGGGATATCTTAAGACAACTTTGTCTTTCCAAGATCTTTATCCCATATCTTTTGTGATACTAATTTCGAAAATGCTTCTGGAATTTCGATGTTTAGTTTCATGATCTCTTTTGATCTATAATACTTTGTTAAATATACATGGGTATTTACTTTCGTGATTATATCCATGAACATATTTTATTCATTTGATTGAATAGCTAATGTTCTCCGGGAACATAACGATTATATCATTAATTCTTCAATGATTATATCCTTCAGGGACTTTTATATAAATGTCATTGTTTAGTGAGTTGATAAGTCAAGTTCTTCTTTCATTGCCAGACTTAATGAACTTGAAAGTTGCATCCACCACATGAGAGTATATCTCTTCATACTCATTTTCTTCGGCACAAATGCCTTTATAACTCACTTGTTTCACACTTTTTAGGTGAAAGGACTTCTGGTCCAAATACTTTCTCTTTCTAAGAGTTTTGTGTCTATTGCTTCTTTTGATTTGGCCAAATCATTACTTTGTGTACACAATGCAATAGACTTTGTTTCATGATCCTCTTTCTCATTCATAATATCAACTGCTACATTGCATGCAAATATATTATTTACGACGTCGATTTGCTTCTGGTTCCATTTTATTCTATACATGACATAAGTAATTTCTCGAGATCTCATCATTGTCTCAGGTACCTGAATTTCTTATTTGTCATGTTTAATGTCTCTTCTGGAGATCATTCAAAAATATTTGTTTCCTCGGTTTGACCATTGTCAATTTATGCTCTTTTACTTTTTCGAGGATTCTAATATTTGGAACCGACAAGTCTATCACGCTTCATGCGTTCTTTAGACTCACTAGCAGCTTGATATTGTCCTTCTGGGACATCAATTCTTATTAGAGCATTTACAGCTGGTAAGTGACTCAATCACTATATTTGGGTCAGTAAATGTATCTGGCAACTGATACAATAAGTTTTGTGAATGAACTATCTTTTGGACTTCTATTTCACATTCTATAGTCCGAGGATCAATGATAATTCATTCAAACTACTTTTCTTTCCAGCCTTTTTTTCTCCCCCTGATGTTGGAAAGACTTATCCATTAACATGGTAGTCTATGAATGAGCCTTACTTAAATCCTTCAGGGATAGCTCTAGATATTATCAATGGAGATTCATATCCAACATCTACAATCTCTTTTGAAGATCCATCTTATATTGCTGTGGTGGAGCAATGTGGATGTTGCACATCCAAAGGTTTCTGACCCAAAACTAATTTTGATGGGGAGAACTTTTAGTTACTTGTTGGCTTTATGCGAGTTAATGCTTGTGCATTATGTCCAATGATGAACATTTTCTATTGAATGTTCAACATTTATTCTTACAAACATGTTTTTCTTTCACCATAGACTTAAGATGTGATTTCACTAGCATTACTAAGTCATCTTGCAAACTTCAGGTTGCAAATTTATTTCATTGATACATACAACTATTTTGTTGATGCATTACAAAACACAATGAAATTTCTTACAGAGGATGACTAGTCCACAAAATGGGTTATTAAACCACACGTTTCTTGTATATTCTCTAGAAAATGAATTGAATCAAAATCTATTTTAGAGTATGGTTTTTAGCATCTCTATTGATCTACATTATCTTTTATATAGTTAAAAGTTATTTACAGACTTCAGATCTTGTAATCTTTCATGAAAATTTAAGATATCATATAGAAAATAATAAAATAAAAATAAAAATAAGTATATATAAATAAATAGAGCATAATCAAAATAAATATTAATAATATATACCATTTATTATCACTTCTGGTGACAAATTTAGTTTAAAATAAAATTAGAAAGATAAGATATAATTTGAATGAATTCTCAAATTATATTATCACTTCAGGTGATAATGTTTTTTGTGTCTGCAAGACAACAAAATTTTCTTGATGTATTTTAACATCTTCATAATATTTATTATCTCCACTTATAGACTTCAGGTCATGTGGTTTTTGATGCAAATACTAAATATATAAAATATAAAATAAATAAATATTATCAAGCTAAATAAATGTATAAGTAAAACATGATAACAACAATTAATATTAGTAACATGTACTATTTTATTATCACTTCAGGTGACAAATTTAATTTTAAAAGAAAATAATATTAAAAATCATTACGAATTTATTTGCTATTGTGTCTATTGGACAACAATATTTTATAAATACTACTAAGATATATTTATACTATTGTGTCTACAGGACAACAATTTTTAATTTCTTTTAACATATTTGTATTAGTAGTATTATTTCCATTTATAAACTTCAGGTTTATATGTTCTTAGATGCAATATTTTCTTTAGATTTCTCTCTTGGTGATATCACTTCTGGTGATTATTTATTTTCTTTAGAATAATATCATATCACTTCCGGTGATTTTACCTTTTCTTTAAATTTTTCTTAAAGAAATTATAAACATAATTAACATGTAATTAACAATAAAATGAAGGAAACCAATGAGTTATAAATTAATATTGAAAATCAATGAACCAATGATCTAACATTTCTCAATTAGACGAAACAAGGATTCATGTCAAATCATAATCAAATTAATATCATAACTTAAATAAGATCATAAGCCAGCCAAGTCATAATCATGATTCATAGGATCTTAAATTAACAATATATTACTATAGCAAGCAAAAGTGTAAGTATGACACCAAAATTGCTAATACATACTCTAGACATATACAAAACATTATTTGCAACTAGAATAGCTTTACATGCTTAAACGTTTATTCTTAGTTCTTGTAAACATGCCTTATAAAAATAATTAACTCATAGTTTAAGTATTATAAGAATCATGTATTTAAGCATAATGCAAGAAATATAAAAGAAACAGAACTAAACCAACCAACGATTTACTAAGCTTACTCAGTGATTTTTCAAGCCAAACATTAGTAAACAAACAGACCAAATCAAATTATACAGCACAGCTTTTTAGTCAAACGATAGAAGAATCAATCATGCGACTATATCTCAACACATATGACTGAATAAGCATGGTTAAGAGTAAGATTCCATCACACAGCAAATAATATAGAAATATTTAACGGTTTTGGTTTCAATTTATTAATCAAACCAAACGATAATGCAATAGATATTAGAGTGGTACTTAGCTCAATCCGTAATGACGACGAGAGAGATTGGAGACACGTAGGCTATGCAGCAACAAACCGAACATACACCAAGCCAAAGAATCTGACACATATAAAATATCGTATACCATGAATATGTATATTACAATATTTTAAAGTTCACAAAGACATCTCAATTAGTGATCTGATCTATTGATCTAATAATATACAATACTTATCTTTGATGAAGGTAGAGGATGGAGTCGTATATTGAGTTACGACAGAATCAAAAATCTCGAAGGATGATGATTAGGGTTTTGCTTTGACGGCTACCGTTTGATGGTTACTCAGACGGCTAGGGTTTTAACCTAATGGTTAGAGACTCGTGCTGATAACGTGTTATAGTGAGAAGAGAGAACAAAAGAAGAGAGGAATTGGTTGTGTGTTATTCCATTAGTAATGAGCTCCTTATATAGGATTACAATATAGGGTTTTCCTTGGAGATGAATACATTTGGAGAACAAGCTAGAACATTCTAGAATATGGGCCGATAATGGGCTTCCATATAAACTAGTTATAACAACTCCCTCTTTTTCAATATATAATAGATGTAAGAGTTTTTTTATTTCATATTATAGAGGTTCTTAAATTTCTATGCAAATCAAATATGTTTTTTATTGCTTTTGACTTTATTTTTTTTTTGGTAGTAGAGAGGAGACAAAGTCTCCCTCAAATGTAATTAAAATAAACTACTCTGTTCTTACAAATCGAGCTCGTGTAGAGCCATCAACATCCTCTAACAACAGCGCTGAGATCTCAGCGAGAGCAGAGGTAAATAAATAAAAACCTAAAGGAAATGAGAAGGCGTGGTTCGCTAACCCGTCGGCCACACGATTCGCTTCTTTGTAAACATGCTTAACCCGAACTATCCAGTCCCTTGAAAAGAAGCCATAGCACAAGCGTACTAGGAAAGACAGGGGATGAGCGTCGCTAATCCCTGAGTCAAAAAAGCCAACAATAACCTCCGAATCCACCTCGATGACCAAATGTGAAATGCGTCTATCCCATGCCACACAGAGGCCGTAGTAAACTCCCATAACTCCGCTAGAGGAGCAGAGCAGACACCGATATTGAGAGCAAAACCGGAAATCCACGTACCATGCTCATCCCTGAGGACCCCACCAGAAGCTGCGGGTCCTGGATTGCCCCGTGAGGCTCCATCCGTATTCATCTTCCATCATCCACTCTCCGGCGGACTCCAAGTAATGTGTCTTTATGAATTGTGCATATTGTTTTATCAACAGTTGAAATGTTTTGGAACTAATTAATAATAAAATATATTTTATTAGGAATATCTAAAAAGATTAAATAAATTCTTAATTTATGTGCAAAAATCTTAAACTCTTGTATTGTAAAACAGAAAGAGTATGCAATTAAAACCATATATGAACTGATGCCGCGTCGAACACGGCTTATAATAAAAGCTTCACGGACATGAAGTCAAATGTAAGAAATGTGGAACGTTTTATTTGGTATTGTTTTTTGACAAAGAAAAAGCAAATAACATTAAATAAGTAAATAAATATATTGTGTTTAATTGGATCTTCTAGTCATACTCTCACGGTCTCACCATATAAGTAAGTAAATTTATATATGTAGAAATAATTTCTTTTGGGGGGATTAAAATAGAAAATAATTTAATTCTACATTTTCTTGAACATTAGAAATTTCTGAGAAAAAACAAAAAAACAGGAGACTTTTTCTTTGGTTTTGACTGAATGTGAGGTAATAAAGCGAATTAATGAATGACTTCAGAGGTTACGATGTCAGTCCATTACTAATTTTCGGACACACCAAATTCTCTTTAATCTAAATTTATGTATTTGACGAACGAGACCAAAAGGTTTTTACTCCGAAGAAAGCAAAAGTCCTTTGATCTGAAGATCGAAGAGAAAAAGAAAACGAGAATGGAGAATGTTCTAGGTCTTCTAAGACTTCATGTGATTAGAGGTGTTAATCTCGCCATTAGAGATTCCAAAAGTAGCGATCCTTACGTCATTGTTCGTATGGGCCAACAGGTAAATCCCAAACTCGAAATTTACATCAATTTTAGCCTTTCGTAATTCACTTTCTCAAGTAATTGTAATGGGTTCGTATAATCTCTAGATATTCAAGATTGTCTCGTTTTAGAGATATTGATCTTTTGGGTCCTGAATAAGGTTATGCTTTTCAGAGATTCTGATGTATATGTATAATGAGAGAAATTAAATAAATAAAAATGCAATGTTGATCTTAATCATAATCACCAGGGCCTCAAATTTTTTTGTGTTAAAAATATAAAACAGATCATATTACAAATATCAATTCTAGGTTTAGGTACTATATGTCAAATGTAGTTCATAGAATTTGATTTTATCGTTAACCATATAGTTATGGTTTTTTATTTTTCTAAATAATTTTACACCTTAATTTGTGTGTGGTGTTGTGTTTATTCTCCTTTGATGTAGAAGGTACGAACCCGTGTGATGAAAAAGAATTTAAATCCAGAATGGAACGAAGACTTGACACTCTCTGTTACTGATCCAATTCAGCCTGTCAAGATCGTAAGTGATTCCTACATTTCATTATCTTTCTCAGTAAAGTTTGAAACAAAATATAACTAGAAAATAGGTAATATTTTGTCTTGTTGTGATGATGATACAGATGGTTTACGATAGGGACTGGTTCTCAAGAGATGATAAGATGGGAGATGCGTTTTTTCACCTTGATCCGTTTCTTGAAGCCATCAGAATCCAAAACCAACTCGGAGGACTCCCTGAAGGAACCGTACTGATGAAGATACAAGCAAGTAGGCAAAACTGCTTGTCAGAAGAAAGCAAGATTGTGTGGCACAAAGGAAAGATTGTTCAGAATATGTTCCTTAGGCTCCAAAATGTTGAGTGTGGAGAGGTCGAGCTTCAGCTTGAGTGGATTGATGTCTCGGGCCTTTTGAGTGTATATTAGGAGGATGAGGAAGAGGAAGTTGGTTACTAGATCCATTTTTATATTACATGATGTTTTTTTTGTGGGGAAGTATAGTTATGAGATCCTAAAGAGGCAAAACCAAACTAGAACACCAATTACTCTTACATTGTTTTCGAAGCTCAAAGCCTAAAAATAAAATCAAACAAAGACCAAAAAGACACAAACAAACAACAACCATAATGTTCATGGTTTTGAGTTTGAGTTTGCTTAGCTCCTCTTTGCATTGGAGGACCTTTTCTTTCATATTTTTAATCTCACTCTTCATATCCTCCACTTCAATCTTCTCAACCAGAACCTACAGCTCATTCACTTCTTTATAAATCCTATCTTCAGCCCACTCGAACAAATGACAATTCTAAGATCAACAAACAAGAGTTACATCATCGCTCAATTACAAATAAGCTCAAACTAATGAAAAGGAATGAATTAGTAGCTGACCTTTCGAAAAGCATCACCTTTTTACTATGATGTATAGTTCCTGACATTGC